CCACTGGGTGGACAGGCAAGTGTCTTGCTTGGCTGTGGCTTGGAGGGCACTTTTTTCAGTGCCATGGTAACTTCAAACAGTCACTAAGCGAACTGTTGTAAGTCGAGAACTACCTGTATTTTATCACTTTTTTCCTTTTTTTTTGGTTCATCAAGTTTTTGACACTTTGCTAGGCGACTGGTGGTACTCGGATACTACCATATCCTAAAAGTGGTACAACGGGTGAAAAGGTTGAAAAGCCCTGATCTATACAACATATTCCAACAAAATGGATATCCCGGAACTTTATCAAAAACTCCCTGACCACTCAACTCAATACAGTGCAACCATCAGAAACCCTAAAAAGAATTACACTGCCATACATCAAGAATATCTCAGAAACTACTAATGGACTATTACAATCACATGGAATCAGCATAACACACAAGCTAACTAAAGCCTTTCAAAAGATCCTAAGCAGAACAAAAGACCCAATAACCCCAGAAGAAAAAACAGGACTCGTCTACAACATACAATGTAAGGACTGCAACAACAAGACCCAAGACCCAAGCACCTCTCCACCAGCAAACAACACCCAAATCAGCATAGATTAACATCCAAGGTTAACATCAGACCAGCAATCAAATAAACAATACCCCAATCAAGAAACTGCCAAAGAAGCCAGCAGCAACCAGCCCAACCAAAGAATCTCTAACACCATCCCCACCAACAGTGACAGAATAGAAGATAAAGCTACTAGAATATAAACTATCAGCAAACTGCACTCCTTACTAGCACTGATGATGTTACTTAGTATAGGTAATGAAACCTCTGCAAGAAAACAAATAAACTCAAAGAGCACCAAGCTCTCTGAGGGCACCAAGGCAGAGAGCTCATGTCAATACTGAGCTACAAATTCTCTTTTTTATTAATGTTGTTCTTACATAGACAAAAGTGGAAACATGCAAATAAAATGCTCAGATTCTAAAGAATACTATAAGATGTTTCCATTAAATTACAAACATCAGAACTAGCAGCAGATGGAATTTTTTATGGCTTACTTTTCCCTACCTTGGGGGCAGGAGAGAAAACTTTTTAAAATGGGACTATATAATTATTTTCCTGTTCAGCATAGTCACATGGGTTTCCTATTGTGAAATATGTGTAACAACTACACTTTACACAAAGTTTAAAACAGTCAATATAGAACTCCAAAGTGAGAATTTTGGAAATTGGACAATGTGCAAAAAATTAAATTACAACTATTCCTATAAATATAAATACATGAGAACCACAACACTGGAACTAATAAAGATGCTAGAACACTTTGTTGCTCCAAAGTGTTGTGAAAATGGTGTTGGCATATGCTTGTTTAACTCAATAAGCCATCTTATTTATAGTGTCATCATGGTTACCTCCCCATCCTGACCCAATTAACACAAACATGTTACTGACATCCAATCCATTATTCTACCATACTGTTTAAATGTACCGTATTTTCCGACGTATAAGACGACTTTCTAAACCATGAAAATCTTCTCAAAAGTTGGGGGTCATCTTATATGCCCAGTCGTCTTATACGCCAGAAAATATGGTACATCAAAGCAAGCTCCCCCGTATCCTGTGCCCCATGCTCCTCACCCCTTGGCGCAGGGATTGGCTGTCCGGATGAGAGTTTAAGTGTCCCACACAGCCAAATAGCTCTAGAAAAATGTCCCTCCAAGAAACATCCAGGAGGAAGGGGTGAGGTTGGAGCGTTGGCGGACCAATGGCAGGAGAGGAGCGCTGGCAGAGAACTAGCCGAGTAAGAATGCCCATGTTGGGTCAGTGACAGGGGCTTCCCAAGAAGAAGTGCCCCACCCCCCTTGCTGCCGAAATGCTGTTCAACGCTCGCAGAAGGCCAGCGATTTCACAGAAGCGTCCGCCCCTCGGGCAGGGATCCTGCCCCTCCCAGTCTAGGGTGGTGGAGGGAGGCGGTGCGAGTGGGGCTTTTCCTCCTCTGGGGAAACCCCACCACCACCAGCCTCTGCTCAGGTGGGCAGCAGGAGCAGCTGGTGGGAGCAGGCGGGCTGCGCAGAGGGTGCCGCTTCCTCGGGGTTGACCGCACCTGGTGCCGTCGCTCTGAGCATCAGAAGCCCTGGGACCCTGACAGACGGATGCTCAGCTTTTCCTCCTCCGCCATTTCTTTGCCAACCTGCCGCCGTGGCTGGTGCTCTCACTGCACAAATGACAGAGCAATCCACCCATGGGGTATCATCCCGGAAGCGGTCTGGCAGGCGCCTCCACCAACGGACTTTAGGATGCACCATCTTTGCCAGCCCCACCTGGCATGGGCAGCCTTGGGGGTCGGGCAAGTGGGAGTAGAGGGTGTTTTCATATCCATTTGGAGAAAATGGATCCAAAGTCTCTATCTGTTGGACAGCTGGGCTTGGCTAGCGCCGTGACCCGCTTTCCTCCCCCCTCCTGCTATCCTTTAGTCCTCCCTGATCGGCACCTGGAAGAATGACCTCAACTCCACCAGCATCGGTAACACGGGGGTGTTCAGCGGCCTCTACAAAACAGCAGTCTTGGCCTCCGACAATCCCATCGGGCCATCCCCGCTGCAGGGCATCCAGCACCAGGGGCCCCAGCCCACCTTTGGCTTCACCGTCAACTGGAACTTCTGGCTCTGCCAGAAGGCCAGGATTGTGTTCTTGTGTGTCTGAGGGGGGGGGAATCTCACCTCTGATGGCAGAATATTCGGGGGGGGGGGGCACAGCAGAAATCTTCTCCTGGAGCTCAGCAGCAGAAATTCTTTGGCCAGTGGGATCCAAATTAGACTGCTTCCACTGGAACGAGAGGGGCCAGCTAGTCCCATTGGGGTGAGGCAGTTCCTCATATACTGCAAAGCTTCACAAGTGCACCCCCATGCTTATTATGGGATGTTACCCAGCTACACTTGTCTTCAGCAGATCAGGAACAAGCAATGAAATATAATGAAATGCTAATGTGTTTAGGACTTACATTACTTTTATTAGAAAGTTAAAGTACCCGTATTTTCTGGCGTATAAGATGACTTGCTAAACCATGAAAATCTTCTCAAAAGTTGGGGGTCGTCTTATACGCCCAGTCGTCTTATACGCCGGAAAATATGGTATATTATCATTTGCATTGAACTGAATATTTTATTTGGTAAGTGTGATTAGACACATAAGGAATTTGCCTCTGGTGTAGAGGCTGTCAATGTATATGCAAAACAACAGGATGATGATGATGATGACGACAATGATATCAATAATAACAAAAAGAGGGGGGATAAAGAAGATAACAAGGATAATAATAATAATATAGTCATACTACATGGGTAAATATACATAAACATTAGACAGAATGCATAACTCTATGCCTAGGTCTGGTTGAGTTGAGATGGGAAAGCATAGTATAACGATGGTTCTGATAAATGTTTTGATTCTGATAATGTTTTTATTTAATTTTTATGTGAATGTTATATTGAAATTTGTGCAAAATTTGCATCACTAAGGTGGGTGATTGATGATTTAGTGTTATGGGCTGGAGGTGACTAGAATCATAATCCAAAGAATATAAAAGGCATCAGGTTGAAGAAGGCTGCACTGCTATATTTTTTCATAGACTAAGAATTAAGAATCTAGGCATACCCATCCATCCGTCCGTCCGTCTGTCCATCTATCCATCCACTCTGCCATTCTATTCAACTGAATACACAGGCTCATATATACATCCAAAAAGAAAAAAATCATAACAAAGGACAGAAAAAGTGGCTGATTCTGAAAATGTATATGCATAGATTCAGTTTCAGAATTAGTATCATGTATCATGATAGAGAGAAGGACCAAGCTGAATAGCTTGCCATCCAAATGCTAAATATTGACAGACAATTCCAGATCTTCTGGCTTCTATTATGAATCTTTTTTTAAAAGCCAGGTGACAACTGGATAGCTGTTCAAGCAGAGTATAAGTTAGGCCACACAGCCATCCTAAACAGATTTAAACATGTCAGCTGGGAGCAGTGGAAACACATGACAAAGTGTGGAGTGCAACAATATGACATAATGTGAAGGGGAGAGCTTGCATCATGAATTCACTATGCATATTTCATTCTTTTGGCATCATCATGGTTAAACATGGGCCCTTATGAACAGACCATGCTAAAAAGAATTAAAGCATATCTAATACTTAACACATACTCACCTCTAATGAGCTGCAAGGCATTTTACTCAGCAAAAGGTGTGGTTGAAATTTACTAATAACAACTATGTTTTAAATTGCACAAACTTACCAGATAATAAACAATCTATAAAATCTCTTCAGCTACACAAATCTAACCAACGCTTTTATACATATACTAGAGTACATGTAATTGCAATATAAGATGTGTCAGTGAACAGACATGTACAAATGATACAACCTGAAGTTACACAGTAGAGATACTGCTTCTTAATTTAGCACCTGGATGAAAAAAACACACAGCTGCCACTAAATAGAATGTTATAAATGCAGGTCATTAATTACTTCGATCATCCAGATGTTTCAGATCTTTTTTTTTTAAAAAAAAGCACTAATCTGATATTGTTTTTTATAAAATCCCAGCAAATGAAATGCTGCTGTAAATGGCAGTACCCATCTCAATCATATATAATGCTAACACTCTCAGCTTGGTACAAAACACAATGGCTAGTATTCATTGATTTCTGTTCCTTTTTTTCTTTCTCTCTAATTAATACATATATAACCTTTTGGAATAGACTTTGAGGAAGAAATCTAAGAGATTTCTAAGCAGGAACAGAAGGCTTCTAAATGTAATAAAATTTCAAGCCCCCCCCCCCCATGAGATTATAAAGTCTAGAATCTAAATTTACCTAACTGTATCATTTTTGTCCCTTGTCCTGCCAGGTCAATGCTAAATACTCTACAAACAAATCAACAAAGCATACAAAAATTCTGGAATTCTCTCTTTCTGCTCCCCAATTTTCTCCTGCCCCTCAGGAAGGTTCCCCTCCTACCTGGAAGTGGGGTTCCTGGAGGATGCGGGCCAATTCAGCTGCTGTGCTATCTTGCTGAGCAATGTGTGTGATGTCTTTAAGTATCTCCTGGACCAGCTCCAAATTGTTGTCCCGCACAGCCTCCAGCTTTGTCTCCTCCAGCCGCTCATGAGCCTACAGGGTGGATGGGAAAAGAGCAAAGAAGAAGGGATTAAAGGGACACATAAACAGATAAACCCATGCTAACCCTTTGTCCTCCTATACAGACTTGCATCCTGGCAGATAATATAAGGATATTAAGTTTGGGTTCCCTAAAAATTACAAGATCACCACTTTAAGGTTTGTTAGATTTTTTTTTAATAAGCATAAAGGGCTTACAGACATCTCTAGAATTAAATAGCTTTACACAGTGGGTGCCCGTCAAGCTTTGTCAAGTCTTTCTGAAGACAAAGACAAAGAATAGGCTGTGCATGTTATAAAGAAAAAGAAGCCAAGTAATTACTCTTCTGTATGAAAACACACAACCCACTTGCTCAGAAACACAGCAAGGGGAACAGTGAGACAACTGAGAGCTTTTCCTGGCCCTCAGTGGCATGTAGCCAGAAATCAAACAGGTCTTTGCTGTATGAAAGATGAATAGCTGCTCTAGATAAGCCTCAAGCAGGGAAACAGACACAAAAGAGAAAGAGCTAAAAATAATAGACTGGCAAATAGAGGCTTAACTTCACTCATGGAGTCAGCTCAGATTGGGGGAGGGTAAAAAGAGCAGGCTTAATATGAATCCGATCTCACTTCTGGGAACCATTTTCTTTGCCAAAATCAGTGATGGAAAATACTGAAATAGAAAGCTGCTGTACTTATTTGATGGAATAAAGACAAATTCTACATCCCAACCCTATAATGCTCGTGGATTAGGTCACCTAAAATACATGGAGAATATCATTCAAGCATTTTCTCAGAAGACTTTCGATATTTTTATTAGGAAAACTCCTGGGATTGGTTTAGAGATTGGCCAGTAACTTTAGCAACTTTAAGATGTGTGGACTTCGACTTCCATCATGCTGGCAAGTGTGAAACTTAAAAGTTGCTGAGGTTGAGAAATATTATTGTAGGCTGTTGACTTCTTTGGGATGGGGATGGGTTCTGAGAAGATTTAGGAGCTCATGGTCTGCACAGCTACCATGAACTTGTTCCAAGTAATCTCTAGCCTGATTCACAGTGATAAATCCAGAATAGTTGGCATGTCATCTGAAATTTGAAGATGTAATTGTGAATCCTTTGCAGTATTTGGATTACATTCTGTCACCCCTGCTGATATTTGAAGGATCAAAGGACTAATTAAATGGTACCTTCCTGAAGCCTCATGGACTGAAACAGATTTTAGCAGGCCTTAGGGATTTCACTAGAAATTCAGCAGATCAGATTCTGAAATGGCCTCTCCCCTTTTGCTTATTCTGAGACACTGATTGGTTTACCAAATAAAAGGAAGTTTGGAAGTGAGCTTGATTGAACATGGGCTAAAGTTCATGTTCAAGCCTACAATGTGGTTTCCACCCCCATTTACAGTAAGCTCATTCAAACAGACTCTTTTTGAGATGGTTTGAAATGCTTCTTTCCAGGTTTCCTGTTGCACTGCAATTTAAGAGATAATCTGTCAACTATCTCTTGGTTATTTGTATCTATTCTCCTTTTTGCTTCTTTCCTAGACTCCTCACAACATCACACAAATGTCTACTTGAAGAAGCTGGCAGAAGTCATCTATTAACCCACAGTGAAGTATCAGTATGCTGATGATATGCAGATATTTGTTTCTATTCCAGGTTAGGCTCCCAAATACAGAAGGGCCTTAGATCTGATATTTGGAGTCTGTGAAGAATTGAATGGGAAGGAACGAGCTGAAGCTGAATCTCTTCAAGATAGGTGTTATTTATTCCAAAAGCAAATGGCTTTGCTCCAGCTCAGCTGTGCTACTGGGCGGGATGTCGCTTTGCTTAAAAAAGCAACCACACATCTGAGATTACTGCTAGACTCAGGGCTACTGCTTATTAGGCAGATGGAGGCCATGGCTAGGAGAGCCTTTGCTGCCAATTTCTGAGGATGAGTGAGCTGCAGCCCTTCAAGAATTGGAAGCCTTGGTGGAAATAAGCATATGGCCTCATTACTGATTAGACTACCCTAACACAATCAAACTGGGAGTGTCTCTGAAGACTGCCTAAAAGCTGCAAATTTTCTTTATACCCATGTTAACACTGATTCTGCAGTGATTACCAACAGGCTTCTGAGTACAGTCCAAATCTCTGGTTTTAACCCATAAGAAACTACTACCTCTTTCAGGTGGAGCTGATCTAACCAGTCTGATAATTCTGGGTAGGGATTTTGAGGCCCCTTCAAGGAAATCTGGAGGGCATAGAACATATTTTTTTTCTTTCACTTCTTTTTTCAGTCTCTTTGGAATAACCAAAGAGACTTTGATTTTCTTCCTTTCTTGATAGTCATTGGAAAGGCATTCATGTTTTAATTTTGAATAGCAAGCATTGATGCTGGATAACAGACACCAGGGTGAGCTGCTCATTTTAAGTTTTATCAGTGTTTTGCATTTACTTTATTGATTTTATGTATGATACTGTAAATCGCTGGAAATCTTCTTACAGGGGGAGCAGTATATAAAACCTGAAAGTAATATATTCTCTATATAAGCTTACTTACAAAATAATTTTAAAATTGTATTAGAACAAAGTATTTGTACTTAGATTATGTTTTCACATTAATTCCTGAATGATATTCATCTTCAAAATAGCCAGAGGGATGTTTCTTAATCTTGACAATGTGGCTGCAAAATTCTAGAAGTTGAAGTCCACACATCTTAAAGTTGCCAAGGTTGAGAAATACTGGCCTATGGAATTCAGACTGATAGGTTAAGAATTTCAAACATTCCTTCAAAGACCAGCAACACATGAACTGCTGCTTGCCTTTCACCATAGGTTATTTATATGAATTTATTTTTCTTTCATTATATTGTATTTCCTATGGGTTCTAATAAGTGCAAAACTGGATACATTAACTAGTGGAAACAAGAGGGGCAGAAATGAATAATGGAAAAAGAAGAGAAGAAACAATTTCTTTCTAGTTGTATCTTTTGGGCAGGAGGCTTCCAGTTTGCTTGAAGTTTTATCTTAGGTTTGGAAGTAGAGAACTACTAGCTCTCCCGATGTGGCTAAACTGTAACTCTCAGCAGTCCCAACTAGCCTGTTTAATGGTGAAAACTTCTGAAAATTGTAGTTAGCAATATACTGATGTTCATAAATTCCCATTCTAATCTTAGATGTAATATTGGCAGCAAACTGAGATTCAGAGTTCTCACTCAAGGTACAAAAGAACATTTTCCAATTACTCTACTTCAGACACATTTCATGAAGATTTAGCTCTCTGGAAAAGGCACTAACGCTCAGAAAAATAGAAGGAAAGAGAAATGGATGGACAGCAACAAGGTGGATGGGCCAGTTATAGTGTGAAGAGCGCACCATTGGAAGACTTGGGAGAACGTGTATAGAATGGATTGTTACAGAGAAAATTTACCTTTGTGGTTGCTAGGAATAAAAAATGATGGCACACAATCACTTCATCAATCAATAATGAGCCAACATTCAGGACGGTGGAAGAGGAAAATGACAATTTATGAAATGTACCATAGCCACCCACTCCAACAGACTCTAAACATCTTAGAAGATATACAGTTAAAAGAGTTAAACATAAAACAAAACAACCATAACAAATGACCTTTGCTGATCTCAAAAAACTAAAATTTGGTTAGTACTTGGTTGGGGACCCATCAAGAACTCACAGGGTATAAAATAAACCAGGTCTAAAACAGATCCCAGCAGAAGGCAATGGCAAATCAACAAAACAGATGTGATGCAGCTTAGATGTAGCACCTCACCAGGTTTTGAGTTCAAATTCATGTTTTTCTAGGAAAAGTTACGAATAAAAAATTTTAGGCTAGTACCGGTAAATGCTGGGAATCTAATGGTAAATGTTGAAGATACTAGGAAGGAACAGAAAAAAGTGATTGAGCAAGTATTAAAAGGCAAACAAGAGTCAGAAGTCTTTCTTAGTATGAAGGAAAGTTTTAGATAAAATTAGGAAGAATTTCTGAAACTTTACAGTAATTTCCCAGGAGAGAAGATGAGAGGAGGTACTGCAGAATCACCAATCTGGGATCATCTAGGATTCTTTAAGTTTTTGTATATGGACAGTGTAACTTTTTTGTTCCAAAGAACAGCTTTTTTTCTTTCGCTATTCACATTTTCCTGGTTGGTCCTGCCACTGAGAATAGATTCTGCAGCTATAAATGGAATTTTTTTTCAGTAAACAGTTATTAAAATTAACAATTCTTTTCATAAACAAAGTGGAATGAACTTGGTTGTTGTTGGGGTTTTTTGAATGTACAAATGTATTCATGAGGAAGGAAGAACAGAGGAGGGACAAAGGAACAGAGGAAAGTGTTAACTAAACTATTTTGGAAAAATGTGTTATGGGCAAGACCAAGTAAGAGTAAGTGATGTAGTAGAAGCGAGTGGAACTGAAGGTGCAGGTTTTGCTCAGCTACAATCCCATCCCTGACTACCCATTTAACTGTACCTTAGCCAATGACCTTACTATTGGACTCTCCATGAGGCCACGGAGAAAGATGAGATCCAGATCTCCAGCTCCCATGGAATTGGGGAGATCACTGAGGTTGTCCAGGACCTGTTGCATAGCTGTGTAGAGAAATGACAGCGCTAATATTAGTCTCATTAAAATAAAAATAATGAAAAACAGAGTTAATTTATCCACTCTAACATTTCAAGAGGTAGAAAAGGAGCAGATGAAAAGTAACACATCTTCTATATGCAGAACAGAGGTGAAATCACATGGCAATGGAAAACAAAGCGAAAGTGGAAAGAATTCTTAGAAATATACTTGGAAGGAAGGAGGAATTATACAATTTTTATAAATATATATGAGTAGTTCATTCACAAAAACTGAGGTCTCTTCTTACAAGTTACAAGTCAACAGCATTGTCCAGAAATTCTATCAGTAGTACTAAAAAAAGAAGGCAATTTGTGATTATCTTTTTTTCTCCCAGCAGCACTTTAGGATTTTTCAAAGAAATTGAACTTCTTAACGTTTTTCCAGAATGATTCTCAAGTACTACAGGGTCATTTCAAGAACTGCTGCAGAGACAGATGCCTTTGTGTTTAGATTACAAAATAAATTCTCTATTGAATGAAGATCAGAACTTCTTCCTTGCTAATCTCAGTCTAATGCTTTCACTGTTGCATTACGCTGTCTCTACAAATCATGTTTTTCTAATTAAATTAACTAGCCAAAAAACTGAAAACCTAACATTCTTGCTCAATATATATGACTATAGTTCATCTCAACCTGCTCTCTTAACCTCTGCTGCCAGAAAAAGCTGTGTGTTTGCTGAAGCTATTTCATTAAACTTCTTTAAGCAGATTTAAGAACATCCATGATTTTGCTATTATTTCATACAATTTGCCTTTGTGTTCTGCATTTGATCAGGCTCACATATTGAATTGCTCCATTGGAAATGGTTGGTACATTTGATCGCTGAAGTATAAACAACTCAGTTCAGTGATTTAGTCAAGCTGCTCTGCAGCATATTGTCCAACCCACAGAGATATATAGATTATATTCAATGTATAACCTGTCCACTTGAATTTGTTCTTTTCTAGCCAATGCTGAATGATTTAGATGGGAGATATAACCAAAGCTAGAGGGACAAAGTCCTTTGATATTCTACTTCTTTTGGAAGAATTAGGTCAAACTGACATTCCCTCCTCTTATCAGCATATCCAGGGCAAAAACTAAGGCAAGCAATCCTGATACTCTGATTAACACTGGCAGAGTGCCACAGGCATTGGCCTCATCTCCATTTCATAAATTCATCTATACTAGGATTTAATAACTAAGATTTTATTCTCATTCAGTCAATAGGGCAGAAAGTCTTCCAAAGTTGCAAAGGAAATTATTTTTAAAAACCCAGCAATAGTCACATTTAAAGACAAGTATTAATTACTGAAGCTCTTCCAGGGATGTATCTGTTGCTAATCTTCTCTTATTTGTTTCTCTCCCTGAAAGTCTATTTGTTCTTAATATTGCAAGCAGAACAACAAACACAGTGGAAAGAAACAAAAAATCAGGTAGCATTTTATTAAAAAATAAAAAGAAAGAAACCACTTTGGACAATAAATCAAAGTTGGGTTTTTTTTTTTTTTTTGTCTATTCCAAGCAGTGTTCTTCAGCACCACTATGTCCATATACAATTTCCAGAGTGCACATTGGGCTTTATGTCTCATTTATTATTTTTCAAACATTAATTACAAAAATTAACAGGAAAGCTAACACACAGCAAACAAAGCTTAAGATTTTGGCAAGTTACTATACTCTGAATGTGTCCCAGGACCAACATGAGTCCCGTATCATTCTAAAGACATAAAAAGGTTAGCGGCTATATCTTAGCACTCAACTTACAAGAATTTCTATCTCCCCAGAGGCTCTAGGACAATTCACCACATACATGTCACCACAGTCATCTCACTGCAGCCAATCTGGTGAGACCATCTCACCACAGGACAACTCACCATGTGTCCCATAGTGAGTTGGCCATGGAGAGATGGCGGCAGTGAGATAGCCATGGTGAGTTGACTCATTCTGCTTTCCAGAGACTGGGAAAGATTTAAGGGATTAAGGAAGGTGTCAATGAGCAACCTTCTCAGGCCATGTATTGTGGCAGTCACTTCATTGTCAACAAAATTCTCTTGCTCCTCTGCCCCTAAGCAAACATTGTTTGTTAGTAGAGGCAACGTGCTCTCATCTTTTTGAATATACATTTCAACACAAACTTTTGTATACTTTTAACATACTCTATTGTCTGTTTATTTTCTTCAGGGAAGTTTTAGAGTATGGAGGTATTAATTCTGTCTTTCCTTTGCAGCAGTGTAAAGTAATAAAATCCAATGATGGACTTTGGAACCAGGATAGGAAGAGTATTGTCACTTTTGAACTTTGGTGTTGAAGAAGATTCCTGAGAATACTATGGACATCCAAGAAAATAAACAAATGGCTTAGTGAACAATCAGCCCAGACTTCTCACTTGAGACACAAATGACCAGGCTCAAATTATCCTACTTCAGACATATCATGCAAAGACTTAATTCTCTACAGAAGATTCTACGGCTTAGAAAGTTGAAAAGAAAGAGGATGATCAGCAGCAAGATGTTACAGTGGCAATGAGTATATTATCAGGGGACCTGAAAGAACCAGTTACTGATACATCATCATGGGGGAAAAAAATCTATGTGATTGCTAAGAGTTGACAAAAAGTAATGCCACATAAATCAGCCCAATCCAGGCACCAGGGAATCAATCTTATCTTTTTAAATTTTCTACTGCAGACATGAAGGAGAATGGTAAATCTTACACTTGCTGTGTAAATATATAGTGGTGGTTTTTTGCAGAGAAAATGTTTAAAAAATGTATATGACCAACTCTTGCATCAATTGCCTAAAGTCACTGGTATGAGATGGACATTTACATTTCATTGATAGAAACAGAAATAAACAGCTTAAAAGATTATGCAATAATAAGTAGTATATCTAAAGTCTGGGATAAATAAAAAAAGAAATCAGTCCACAACTTCATCTTTTGCCTCAATATTCTCACAAAAAGGATAACACAAATTTTCTCACTGGAAAGGTAACAAATCATTATATACATTCATCAATAAGCCAAATATGAAATCTTTTTAATCTGCAGAATTAGCAGAATCACACACGCAATTTCAAAATCTTCAAATGAGTGAAAATGTTTTAAAGAATGCAGAAACCCAAAGAAACATAGAATTTGAATCTCTTATAAAACAAAATTCAGAGATGTTTTGGCTCTTTTTATAAACTGTTCATGAAATATGACTCAGAAACCAAACAAGTAAAAACCAAACAAGAATTTAGACGTAATTGGTATGCAATTGTAACAATTTCAGTGGAAGAAATCTATTACACAAAATATATTTACAGAAAAGTGGAATAAAATGTTTTACTGATGGCATATATAATTCTATTACCGATTACTAAGCTGGACAGATCATTTGCTAAAAATTGTTGGAAATGGTTGGATCTTTTTTCCATATTAGGTAGCGGTCTGGTAAAGCTGAAACATTTTGGAAAATAATTTCTAACAGAATGAAACAAATTCTAAAAGCTGAATTTCCTTTTTAACTTGCTCTTTTTATTATATATTACTAAACCTCGCATTCCCACAAAATATATCGAATTAACTTTCTACACAGCAACTGCTGCAAGGATACTTTACATTTCCTATTGAAAATATATTCAATTATTTTTGCAGAAGATTCACAAATTAAGTTATGGAAATTCACTTAGACGTTCAAAATTCATATTTGAATTGGATGTACAGATATTCATAGTTAAATAGTAAATCTGATGCAGGGCTTAACTTTTTATGAGCTTGTGCCACATCTAAAATTTGGATTTCACTTGACATGAAATTTTAATATTCTGACCTTCAATGATCTATTAAATGAGGATAGATTTTCAACTGCTCAAATGGGATGTATTATAGTTCCTACCTATGAATCACATTGTGTTGATTATAACTTCAACCAATGGGTTTTTAAAATAATGCAACCTATTCATTTATTTAACACTAATTAAATAACTGGAAATTTCTATCTGATTTTATACCTGTAAATTCCCCATTTATTCACTTTATTCCCCTTCTTCTTCTTTTTCTTCTCTTTTCTTTTCTTTTCTCTTTTCTTAAAAATGGTTAATAAAAATATAATAAAAAGAGAAAATAACACTACTAAACTTTATATTTTGCCTTAGTACCCTGATTGTGATAAAGGATAAATGGTGTTTTTCCTCATTTTAGCTACTCAGGTCAAGCAAATTGCTAGTTGATTTTACTTCAACTCTGATGATAGAATAGAATTCTCTACTGAATATGAGCGCAGCTCATTATGATGCAAAGCACAGGCCACGTATTAAGTGTCATTTTATCCTTTGCCTATGCTCACTGCTGGCTAGAACAGCTTTTTGGGCACCAGGGATCGGTTCCATGTAGAGAAGTTTTTCTGGGGACCGGGGGGGGGGGGCACGGTTTCACATGGTGCCTGCATCCTTTGGATGGGGCTTTGCTTGTTTGCGTGGACCAGTGCCAGTCCATGGACCAGGGAGTTGGGGACCCCTGGTCTAGAAAACTGATCCATTCCTTTTAGGGCAAGCAGATCCAACCCATGCTTGCATGCCACAGCTAGTAACTTTTAACATTAATATGTAACTTATATACATTAACTATATTATATATTTTATATGTAGCCCAAGACAATTCAGCTTCACTCAATGTGGCCCAGGGAAGCCAAATATTAGATAATCATGTTCTAGGGGAATGATAGGCCCTGTACCACATTCATTTCCATACACAGACCAGATTTTAGAATGGCCTTGAACATAAGCCCAGCTTCAGAGAAAACTAACTGCATTGTTATTCTCATCCTGTCTTTCCCTTTCTTCACATTCAAACAAGGCATAATAAATTTTTCTAAGGAAGAAGATAAGGAGGGGCAAGAGAAGAGGGGTACTTCTCTAATGAACAACAGATGGTTGTCATTGTAATTATCCCTAAGGCATTGAAGGACATCACAAAGCATCACCTAAGGTCTTGGGGATAA